CAATTTCTTTTAAAATTGATATCTTTGATTAAAATAAAACCTGGTTATTTTGCATGAAAGTCTTTTTTAAGACATGTCCTGTTATAAAGTGATAATGCTCTGTCCCTGCCTCATAAATGAGTTTCTGTGGTGAGGGGTTTAAGTGAAAGAGAAGTATCTATTTTGCCCGTACTTCCTTTGTGGATCACAAGAGTACATTGACTTGTGCTGTCCTGTGACCCAAATTCAGCCCACTGTTGGCTTATGGCACAGAGCCGCTCCAGGCTCTGGAAGGATCCAGACCACATTGCTGCGATCCATCCGGTTGCCTGATTGACAGCTGGCTCCATCTCTCATTCCCCCCAGAACCAGCTGTGCCTGCCCCCTCCCCAGCCCAGCACTGCAGTGAGAGCTGGAGGGGCAGAGCAGAAAGTGGTGACTGACAGTTACTGTTTTCTTCTCAGAGTTGACTGAGAACTGAGTGATCAGTGTCATGTGATCACTCAGTTCTGTGGGCTTAGAGCTGGTGGAGGACAGCTGTGGCATCAGACTAATACTGCAGTATGAAGGTGAGTATTTATGTTTCTTTATTTTTGTATGAACCCCAAATCCTCTCCTTTAAAGTGGTTGTAAAGACTCAAGGTTTTTTACTGTCATGCATTCTATGCATGAGGTTAAAAATCTTCTATGTGCAGCAGCCCCTCCAGCCTTCCCAATACTTATCTGAGCCCCATTGTGATCCAGCAATGTGCATGAGAGCCTCCTTCCTTATTGGCTGAGACAGCAGCAGGAGCCATTGGTCCCTGCTGCTGTCAATCACAGCCAGTGAGCCAATGAGGAGAGAGGGGGGTGAGGCTGAGCTGCTTCTCTGTGTGCAAATGGACATGCAGAGAAGCAGCTCCGGAGTGAGCCAGCTTGGGTGCCCCCATAGTAAGCTGCTTGCTCTAGGGGCATCTGGCAGGAGGGAGGGGCCAAGAGTGCCAGCGGGGAACCTGAGAAGAGGAGGATCAGGGCTGCTCTATGTAAAACCACTGAGCAGGTAAGTATGACATGTTTGTTATTTTAAAAAAATACCTTTAATATCACTTTACAATTTCCAGGATAAATATTTAATTTGCTAAACTGACATATGACTAGTAAATTCTTATGCTGAGATATCTACAGTATTTAGTATGCTACATCTTGCAAAATGTAATACTACAATTAAAACGGCCCTACTGTTTGTTAGTGATAGAAAGTACAAAGAGCTAAGTACTAAATATAGTAACCCATAGCAATCAATTGGACTTCACGTCACTGAAGTCATACTAGTACAAGATCCACATTGATTGGTTGTTCTGGGCATTTTAATTTGCACTGTTTTGTAAACCAAATGGCAGACTGAAGTTAATATTCATATTCCATATTTATCAATGACTTTCGTGTTTTGCAATAGTATTGGGGCTGGTTTACTGAAAAAGATGAGAATCTTCCTCCAATAAATTGTGTGGATATTTACTTCAATGATCCGATTATATGAAAAGCACTTTGTTTCCTAACAATAATCAGCCTCACTGCCTGATATCTGAAAAATACTCTCTTCAGAACAGTCATGTGAAAGGCAAGCCATATTGATCAGAGGTAATGATTGATTTGACTTCAACAATAAACATTATCCCTCACACAAAGAAGGTAAGTAAAAGAAATGATCGTATTTGTGTAAGATGAGTAACAAAGAGAAATAAAAATAAAAAAAGGGAAAGAATGAATAAAAAAGATAAAGATGTGGAGGGGGAGTTGTTGGATAATAGAGGGGTTACAATGATATATAATTGTGGGCATTTTTTTGTGTGCAGTAAGTCGCTGGCAAGAAATTATAGAGAACAGTATGTAATCAAGGGCTTCCAGATTTACCGCTGATGCTGATCATAAAGCCTTCCGTATGTTGCTTGTGCCCCGGATTTGTTTTTGAAAAATGATTTTGTAAATATGTGTTGTCTGCTAACGTAATAAAGGTCATTTTATATATTGTGTGAATGTACACTTCAATTTTTTATTCATGTGTAATAGGGTTTACCTATTCTATCTGTGCTTTCTTGGATAACACTGTTCAACAGGTAAAAAGTTTTGGGCATAAAATTAGCTAATCTTACATAATTTTGGAGTGCTAAATCAGCGAAAATGACCCTAAAAAATGTTGATTGGCTCTAGCTTCCATGATATATTCACCCATCTAATGACGTAAGCCATTCAAAATTATGATGCAACTTCAGCTGCATATTGCGCAATTGATACTGGTGACCAATAGAAAATTGCATGTATACTGAGATGATGCAATATTAGCCTTTAATTGCATCACTTCACTGCATAAAAGCTGCAGTATCTGATTGTAGTTCGACAGCGTCTTTACATTTCGTTTTATGCTTATATAGGCTACTCAGTAATGCCTCGAACTTGTGTGAATAAAGCAGATAATTTCTGCTATATCTGCGGTGAAATAACTTTTATCTCACAAAAAAGGAGGATAACAGGAATGATTAAGAAAGCCTACAACTTGTATTTTGGCTGCAAGATAGGAGACCAGGACAAGAGCTGGGCACCACATATATGCTGCAATTCTTGTGGGACGGCACTGGAGCAATGGTTGAATGGAAAAAAGGCATCTATGCCTTTCGCTGTGCCAATGATTTGGAGAGAGCCAACAGATCATGTTAGTAATTGTTACTTTTGTATGGTGCCTCCAATTGTAAAAGGGCTAAATAAGAAGAAAAAGTTATCTGTGCACTATCCAAATATTCCATCGGCAATACGTCCAGTTCCTCATGGAGAGGGGCTACCAATTCCTAAAGCACCAGAATCCTGTTGAGTCAAGTGAGGAAGAACCTGAAGCGCGTAGTCACGTGCAGATGTGTAAGAGATAGCCCTTTCCTCGAATACAAGAGAAAAGCCAAGAAAAGCAAAACCGACACAAACTGAAGACAAAACTAGTGAGAATCCTAAGTATTAAAATGATTCAACTTAGCTTATGGCTATAATTTTTCTTGGTAATCCTATGCAATATATTATGCCATTTAGGCTTTGTTATGTAGTCAATCTCACTTGCTTTATATTTGTGGAAAGACATCTATTTATATAATTATTGTGCATTGTGTAGTCATTATGCCTATAGTAGAAAACTTTCCGTTTACAGAAAAACTAGAGCCAATTGACAAATTTCATTGTTATATTTGAACTCAGAATGTGAAATTCATTAAGAAATGGATCCTTTTGTTTCCAAAACTGGCAAAAAATAAAAATTTGTTGAACAGTGTAATTGAAGCAAGTATACAAAGATTCTCAACTCCTTTAGTAAATCAGTTCATATATTTGGATTGTCTGTAGGCTATTCATACTGTTTGTCTGCTTAAACAGCTAAGCTCTGTTCAAAACATTATTCCAATGGCAGTGTTTGCAAGCACCTGATTATGTGTATCATGTGAACATGAATATCCTAAGGGAATGGTGGCAAGCTGTATGGCACCATCTTCCTCATTGTAATCACAAAGCTCCATGCAAAGCAAACACCCGCTAGGGTTAACTGGGCCTGGCTAGCCATCAAAATGGATGCACACACCTGGCAACACACGAGCACAGATGCTTCTGTAAGAGGAGAAAATCTGCTCTCATAACAAAATACATTGCATGCTGGAGGCAAACATGAACTGATAAACTGCCATTTTTCTTTTGGACTTGCTGCAAAACCCATTGGCCACACAGATGTGTGTACTTTTCTTTTTGTATAAAGGACTGGCATCATTTTACATAAACAAAACATAATCACTCTTAAAAGCCGACTTTATCCTCGGATGCTATTCAGTGACTATGCTAAGTATACATATAGTATGTATTTTTCCTTATGGTGCATTGTGGTGACTTTTTTCCTACTACAGCCATATGTGCTTTATGATGGGTTATATACATAATGTACCTTCTGCTGTAATTTTTTTTTAAGTCATTGACATAATAGGTGAAGCCTAGCATCCTTAAAGTGTGTCTTTAAAGTCGCATATAAGCTTTAACATGCTAATCTAGTTCTAATATTTTTTTTATTTACAGCTTTCATTCAAATAAAACCTAATGATCCCTCCATGTCAGTCTTTATTAAAGCACTTCCTGATGTAGGTCTTATTCACACAGGTGCTGAGGCCCCACAGTCAGTTAATGGACTTTGTGTTTTTGTAGCTTGAGTAACCAGGTGCTGTGTACAGGCAGCTCATTTTAATATTACTGGTACTTACCATATTTTTCGCTCCATAAGACACAGCTAGGTTTTAGATGAGGAAAACAAGAAAAAAAATATTCTGAACCAATGGACTGCAGACATAGTACAGGAAATGACCAGAGACTGCAGACATAGTACAGGAGATGACCAGAGGCTGCAGACATAGTACAGGAGATGACCAGAGACTGCAGACATAGTACAGGAGATGACCAGAGAGCAACATAGTACAGGAGATGACCAGAGACTGCAGACATAGTACAGGAGATGACCAGAGACTGCAGACATAGTACAGGAGATGACCAGAGACTGCAGACATAGTACAGGAGATGACCAGAGACTGCAGACATAGTACACAAAAGATGACCAAAGACTGCGGACATACTACAGGAGATGACCAGAGACTGCGGACATAGTACAGGAGATGACCAGAGACTGCAGACATAGTACAGGAGATGACCAGAGACTGCGGACATACTACAGGAGATGACCAGAGACTGCAGAGCATAGTACAGGAGATGACCAGAAACTGCAGACATAGTACAGGAGATGACCAGAGACTGCAGACATAGTACAGGAGATGACCAGAGTCTGCGGACATAGTACAGGAGATGACCAGAGGCTGCGGACATAGTACAGGAGATGACCAGAGACTGCAGACATAGTACAGGAGATGACCAGAGACTGCGGACATAGTACAGGAGATGACCAGAGACTGCGGACATAGTACAGGAGATGACCAGAGACTGTGGACATAGTACAGGAGATGACCAGAGACTGCGGACATAGTACAGGAGATGACCAGAGACTGCGGACATAGTACAGGAGATGACCAGAGACTGCGGACATAGTACTGCAGAGACTGCGGACATAGTACAGGAGATGACCAGAGACTGTGGACATAGTACAGGAGATGACCAGAGACTGCGGACATAGTACAGGAGATGACCAGAGACTGCGGACATAGTACAGGAGTTGACCAGAGACTGCGGACATACTACAGGAGATGATCAGAGACTGCAAACTGTACAGGAGATGGCCAGACTGAGGACATAGTACAGGAGATGACCAGAGACTGAAGACTTTTGGGGACGGGTACCCAAATTTGACAGGTACTCGCTCCCAGGAGAGTTGTCTTCCCTCCCTGTCTTCTTGACTCAGAAGACTGCCGGACATTAGTACAGGAGATGATGCGCAGTGGGCACCCGTCTGGGAAGCAACTGTCATAGCCGGGGACATAGTACAGAGAGGAGAGATGACCAGAGACTGCGGACATACAGGAGATGACAGAGAGATGACCAGAGACTGTGGACATAGTAAAGGAGATGACAGAGAGGACTTTTGGGGGACGGGTACCCCATATTTGACAGGAGACTCGCTCCCACTTCCGCAGAGTTGACTGCGGACATAGTACAGGAGATGACTCAGAGACTGCGGACATAGTACATGAGATGACCAGAGCACTGTGGACATAGTACAGGAGATTACCAAGACTGCGGACATAGTACAGGAGATGACCAGAGACTGCGGACATAGTACAGGAGTTACCAGAGACTGCGGACATACTACAGGAGATGATCAGAGACTGCAAACATAGTACATGAGATGGCCAGAGACTGAGGACATAGTAAAGGAGATGACCAGAGACTGAAGACTTTTGGGGAGCGGGTACCCAAATTTGACAGGTACTCGCTCCCACTTCCGCGGAGTTGTCTTCCCTCCCTGTCTTCTTGGACACGTGACAGGACTCAGAAGACTGCCAGACCATTCACAAAGCGCAGAGCTTCTCATGCATGCGCAGTGGGCACCTGTCTGGGAAGCTGCAAGCTGTCATAGCCGGGTGCCCACACTAAAGATGCCGGCACCAGGGAGAGAAGACGGTGAGGGCACCATTGGACCGAGGAACAGGTAGGACCAAGGACCAGGTTCTGCTGCACAGAAGAGCCGAGCGGCAGGCCTGGTGTTTTAAAAATGGCAGCGGTGGGAATACTTGGCTGGCCACTCCATATTCACTCCATAAGATGCACAGACATTTTCCCCCATTTTTTTGGGGAAAAAAGTGCGTCTTATGAAGTGAAAAATACAGTATATATCACCATCAATTTGCACAGCACTGTACATATATATTGTATGTTCACATCAGTCCCTAACTCAAGGGGCGTACAATCTAAAGTTCCTAACTTACATTCATACATACAGGGGCCAATTTAGACATGAGCCAATTAACCTACCAGCATGTCTTTGGAGTATGCAAGTGTATGGGGATACAGTGGCTGCACAGACACAGTTGCTTGTCTCAGTCTGACAGACCTGCAGGTATGGGTGAGCGGTCCCGAACATAGACAGTGTGCTAACCTGCACCCACATGCCTTCCAAATTGGGACAGGCATCTGTGTCTGTGCAGCCAATGTGTCCCCGTACACCTACAAATCTACTGCAAATATGCTCTGCTTAAACTTACTAAACCTGTAGCAAGTACATAAAGTGATTGTAAACCCTCACCTTGTAAAACAACCCATTCAGTTTAAAATAGAAATGAAAGACAAATTTGTGTTAACATGTAAAAACATTATAAATACCTTTTTTCCCATTTTTATAAGGGATCAAAGACCCTCTGTTCTGAGCTGCATAAGAGTTGGAGGAGGAGAAAAAGCAGAACACTGATCTTCCCAGTGCATGGCTGTGCAGGAGGAGGCATGTCAGGACAAGTCTGATCATTGGAGGAGAGCAGGCTGAGTTCTCAGCACAGCTAGAGGACTGACAACAGTGTTTTCTCCTGCTTAGTGTGGTCAGTTTGTTAATAGGAGCTCAGAGGACAGGCAGGAACACCAGGAATTTCACACACAGGAAGCAATACAAGGAGAACAGGACACTTTTTCATACAAGTACATGGTACAGCAGGCACATATGAGGAATATGAAATGTTGGGTTTATGTATTATTTAACTTGTTTGTGCTGAGAGTATGCAAATATGTAGCCTCTCGGTGGGTGGGCCTTGGGCATATTTGTATACCCGGCTTCCGGAACAGTTACTAGCACCTAACGGAAAGCTCACAAGCTCACGATTGCTACTTGTGATCAGGAGCTTTCCGATTATGTGACCGTTGTGACAGCCAATCACGGTGGTCACATGACCATAAACCCCCACCCGGCATTAGAAACCCCTTAAAGCAGTGGTTCTCAACCTTCCTAATGCCGCGACCCTTTAATACAGTTCCTCATGTTGTGGTGACCCCCAACCATAAAATTATTTTCGTTGCTACTTCATAACTGTAATTTTGCAGTGGGAGGAATAGTGCCACATCATTGGTGTCAGTGAGATGATTAGTGCCTCATCACTGATGTCAGTGGGAGGAATAGTGTCCCATTGTTGGTATCAGTGGGAGGAATAGTGTCCCATCATTGGTGTCAGTGTGGGAGGAACACTGCACACTGCACACTGCACCATCTGCACACTACAGACGCTTACCTGTCAGCTGTCTTCCTTCTCCAGCCGCTCCCTCGCTCGATCTTCTTTGCTCTTCGCGCTGCTGCTCGGCTCCTCTCTCTCCAAGCTCCACCTCCTCGCCGGTGATTGGCCGCCTGTGTGCCTCTCCTGAGCTACAGTTCCGGCGGCCAAACACTGGTGGGGAGGCAGAGCTGTTGAGTGATCCTGGGGATGTGGCCAGGTGACAGAGCGGCATGTTTTTCCCGCGCACACATCGCGGTCCAGGGAAATGTGGACGTATCTGCATGTGGGCGGACCCGCCTGGAGACTGATAGAGGAGCGGTGTCTCGGTTCCTAAGACCATCGGAAATATGTGTTTTCCGATGGTCTTAGGAGACCCCTGTGAAAGGGTTGTTTGACCCCCAGAGGGGTCGCGACCCACAGGTTGAGAACCGCTGCCTTAAAGGATCGGGAGGCACGGCATTAGGGGTTAAGGTGTGTGCACATATTTTGATACTTTAAAAATCACCCTAATGTGCTCAACTATACAGAAGTGATTTGTGCTTAAAAATGCTATTTGTATAATGCAATTCATTCCTGGTTTTTGACCCTCCAGGGCTCATGAAAATACTGGAAGGTGTGTGCAGGCAACCTATAGTTGTCAGCTTTGCCCAGTTTCTGGAAGTTTAGTAAATATCAGCTAATTTAGGTTCAATTAACCACTTCCCGTCCGGCCCGTGTACATAAACGGCCAGGCGGGAGCAGTGCTTAAGCGGGTGGCTGTTTATAAACGGCCTCTGCATTCACTGCCTGTGCACGCTCCCTGGGAACACCCCCGCGCTCCGGTGCCCGCTGTGTGCCTCCGGACACAGCGGAACACCGATCGCTGTATGGGACCTCTGTGTGAGGTCCCGATTCATGTGATCCCTGATTGGCCAATCAGTGATCACATGAATAGTAGTAAGCAAGATGTCACTTCCTGACATCATTGCTTACTACTAGTGAAATCTGTTAATGATCATAGAGATCACATGGTACAAGGCTATTCACAACAGCCTTGTACCATGTGACAAGCTGTGACTAATCACAGCTCTCACAGTTTTTCTCAATGGCTGCAAGAAGAATGCAGCCAGAGAGAAGGAAAAACGATTGCTTTTGTAGCCTTTATGGGTGTAAAAGCAATCAGTGTACAAAAAAAAAAAACAAAATCTTCATCACCCCCCACAAGTAGTACAGTGTGACTATGGTGACACTGTACTGCTAGGGTTACAGCATTTAAAAAAAAAAAAAAAAAAACATAAATAATAATATAAAAAAAATTAAAAAATGTAAAAAAGAAATAATAATAAAAAAAGACAGCTGAATACATTTTGGCCAAGATTTATGAAGAAAGATTATTTATTTGCAAAATTTTATAAGAAAAACACTTTTTTTTTTCAAAATGTTTGGACTTTTTCATTTATATAGCAAAAAATCCCAGTGGTGAATAAATACCACCCCAAATAAAGTTTTATCTGTCTCAAAAAAATGCTAATAAATTAATATCGGTGCAGTGTTTCATGACCGCGCAATTGTCATTCAAAGTGTGATAGCACTGAAAGCTGAAAATTGGCCTGGACTGGAAGGGGATGAAAGTGTCTGGACTTGAAGTGGTTAATTTATTGCAAGGTATTTGCAATTCGTGCTATGTAATATGCAGACTGACAGTGAAGGATGGAAACAAACCAGCAGGTAATGACAGTTACAGACCATGATGACTGCACAAAATCTGGAAATATTGACAGTAACAGACTATATGGATTGGACATGGCCTGACATTAATACATATTGGTAAAGTTGGGGGTATGCACTTACAGAAGGTCAGAGACACATCCCAGAATGAGTGGAGACAGATAAGGATAGATAGACAGGTATTGATGGACAGATATTTCTGGGTTAATTTTCTTGAGTTTGAATTTCTTTTTCAAGTAGCTTTGATTTAGATGACCTACCTCCTAGACACATGGGGGTCGATTTACTAAAGTAAGAGCACTCAGAATCTGGTGCAGCTATACATGGTAGCCAGCCAGTTCCTAACTTCAACTTCTTCAATTAAGATTTGGCAATAAAACCTGGAAGCTGATTGGCTTCCATGGAGTGCTGAACCAGATTAGGACCATGCAGTTATAGTAAATAACCAACATGATCTTTGTAAAGTATGTGATTTTTGGTTAGAGATAGGGAAGGAGTCTATAGTGACAGTACGTAGAGTCCAGTTTGACTGTTTAACTGGTGCCAGACTGTGTTCACTCTGATGTACTTTGCTGTAAGTGCTATACATATGTCATAGAGATGATTTACAGTTATAATATAATATACAGTATGTACAGAAATACACAGCAGAGCTACTTCTGACATTCATTGTGTCTATTTTAGGTTTTATTCATTTTAAAAACTTGAAGTTGCTTTATTTTAAAAAATTCTTTAATTAACCACCCTAATGGTCTGATTATGTCAATATTTCTGTGCTCAAAGCGGTGCATTTTTTTGCATGGAAATATGTTGTTTTTTTTATTGTAGGCCTGTAATTTTTAGGAATAACTTACTGAAATCTGTCCGAACAAGAGTCTAGTAAACATCCCGGGTATGATAAAATTTGAAATACGAAATCATAAATTATAATATAATAATCATAAAAAATAATAATATAATAATAAATTTAATTCAATAATATAATCAAACCAAAATTACAGAAATTTGAAATAGAGCTCCAAGTTTGCACATCACTGAGCTTAGTCGTAAAATCGTTTTAAGTGTCTGATGACGAATTTCCCCACGAATCATTATCACTCAATTCTGCAAGTGGTTCTGATTTACTATCGCTGTTCTCTAGCTGGTCTAAAACTGCTTTTGACCTAAAGGGACACTTTTTGGACACCATGGACGTTTCTCAGTTTCCAGGCAGAAAGAACAGTATAAATGCAGGCAGGGCGCAGGACAAAGCACTCGGGACAAAATGTATGCAAAATGCTTTGATACAATAATGTTTTACTATGTCATTTTAGTGTATTGAGTGAATGTCACTTTTAAAATTTTTGAATTTCTCGCCGGTTTCATCCCCCGTACGTCCCAGCG